CCATCAACGCGAAACGAGATGTATTAAGTTTATAAGCTGAATATAATTTATCTGTTATTGCTAATTGCCTAAAAAATATTACCCAATTGGCCGTTAATGACGATTTACGAGTCTATTTCTGATCGAGAGCAGAATATATAGTAAGTAAATGTTTGTTGCTTTCAATGAATACAAAGATGGGCAGACAGACAACCGATGGCTAAGAGGAAATTCTTTTACAATCTTAACCTTATCAATAAAGCGTATATTTTATGAATGTATACAAGTTGAAAAGATAAATTTTATGGATGAACGGATGGACGAACTGGCAACAATTTTTGGCTAATCGTAGACATATAAATTTTTTAAACTAGTATACACATATATACATTATATCTTGTCGAGAGATTAATGGACAGACAAATGGGTATAACTAAATGTTAAACTAATGAAGCAACATACATAAATACACTTTAGATAATAATATATATTATATATAAAATAAAATGTACTTTGTTGACTGACGGACGGACATACATATAGCTACGGCTACGGTTAAGTTGTTTTCCAATCTCATTCATAAAGCATGAAATGATTATGAAATCTTAATGCTGCAAACGTAACAACATAATTAATAGTTAGTTATTATACATTATTTCCTACGGCGGTAAAGTTAATAGTCCAATAGAACATTTTGAAACAATGAATCTCTTAAAAGGTGAGCAAGGCTAAGGCATTATAAAAAATGAAATTGAATATATTTTGCTTTTCAAATATGTCCTACAACGTTTGACAAGATTGCTAACGATTGTTGGTTCCTTATATGTTCATATATTTACATTGATGTACCTATCATCTTTATATGCATATATATATATATATATATATATATATATATATAATATGGCAGCAAAATCAATAAAAAATAAAACTTATTTCTTTTTAATTTAAAATAAAAAAAAAAAAAAAAAAAAGAAAAAAGAATGAAACAAGAACTCGATCGATTTAAATCAAATACAAAGAAACACTAAAGAAACAGCGAAAAGAATCAGATAACAACAACAACAACGACAAATGCAATGCAACGCAACGTTTAATGACGGTTCTGAATGTTATTGATGTCTGTACGAATGTATGTATGTATGACGAAGAAAAGTGCAACTTACAAGTGAAATTAATACGCATACATGCACATACACACGTTGTATATATAATATATATATAATATATAATATATAATATATAATATATATATATATATATATATATATATATATATATATATATATATATATCTATATATATAAAATAGATATAATGTATATATATACATAGGTATATGTATATGTACGTATATATCTATATTTATATTTATGCTTGATACGCATACATAAAATGATAATAATGTAGGAAAATAAATGCAAATAATTTATTTACAGAAATAAAGTCTAAGTATAAAAAATTGCGACATTTTATTTTTAATATTTATTATATAGAAAATGTGAGAAACCTTAAAATATATTATTATGTGCCATAACAAGAACAACAACAACAACAACAACAACAACAACAACAACATATAATAACAAAGAAAAAAATAAATATAAAAATCCTGCAGAAAGCATTAACAAATAATAAATAATTTAATGTACTAAATATCAAGCAAACAAAAAAAGCTTTAATACAAACATATTTATGTAAAAATAAATATATATATATATATATCTAAAAAAATGTAAGAATATTCTATATAAAAAAAAAAAGAAACAAACCAAACTAAAATCCTTACTTGTGTAACCGAGGAGGCCAAACAAAAAACAAAAAAAAAAAAACAATAAGAAGACGGAAAACAAAAACAAAAAAGACCACAACTACAACAACAAACAAGTGAAAAACACACAATTGACAAAGTGTAAACATTGTATATTCATAACAGTATTATTAACACGTAACCTACGTCACACATTGCACACTAGCAAAAAAAAAAGCCAAAAACAAAAAAATAAATAAATAAATAAATAAATAAATAAACAAAAAAAAAAAAAAAAAAGTTATGCACATACGTACGTATAATCATACTTACTGCACACATATGCATAAACGCAAAAAACGAGAGTAAGTTACTCTACTACCAGCAATAATAGCAGCAACAATAAGGGCTACTGCAAAAAAACGCAAATTAACAACAACAATAATAACAACAACAACGGTAACAGCAACAAGAAGAAGCAACAACAATAAACATCAGGGAATAACTTCACAGCCGCAAATAGCACATTACGCTACGTTTTGCACGGACCCCCCACTCATCTATACAGAAATATCGCATACACGAACACACGTCATATCGCATCGCATCGTAAAATCACCAGCAAGCAAACAAACAGGCAGGCAGGCAGGCAAGCAAGCAAGCAAGCAAGCAAGCAAGCAAGCAATAAAGCCAACCAAGCCAAGCTATCAAGCCAGCAAACACAATAAACAAACAAACATTTGTCGTACTTCTCGTCTACATATACTTGACGTTTTTACAACGAACGCATGCAATACCGAGAGTTGCTATTGCCGTTGCCGCATTATATTTTTCATTCTTCTTATTCTTCTTCTTCGGCTTTTTTTATTCATGGTTTTCCCTGCTACGTCAACAACTATACCACTGAGTGACTGCTGTTGAATCTGTCTGGTGTTTGTATGTGTACTGTTCTGCACACACTTCTAAATATATATATATTTTTTTTTCATTTTATTGTTGGATTTTTTTTTTGTGCGGCTGTGTGAGTGTTAAACCAGATATCAACACTTTGTGTGTTTGACTTTCGTGCATTTGTATGTACATGTTTTCAAAAGTTCTTGAGGATAAACGTATATATATATGTATATATGTATATATGCATAGATGTGTGCAAAAAGCTATATATACTGTGTCAGTGCATGCATGTAACAACAAATCAAAAATCATACACACAGAATCAAAATAAAAAGGAGGCCACGTAGGACAATAAAAAGACAAATACAACAACAATAATAATAAGCACAGTAGCATTATTGTTGAAGAAATAAAAAGAAAAAGAAAACGAATATAAATAAACAAACATCAAAACAAATAACAACAGCACGCGGTTGTTTTTATAAAAACATAAGCTTTGCCTGCCTGGCTGTACAAAGCGCAACAGCTTCACTCAATACGTCAATAACAACATGTCCTGCATATCGAATAATTTCAGTTCATTCTTTCTAAATTCACTAAACGATCCATCGGAATTCTCAAAATATCTGAGTAACGGTGAGTTGAGGTTCTCCTCTTCGTTAGAAGATTTTCCAGGATACGGACAGCAGCAGCAACAGCAACAACAGCAACAGCAATTGACTTGCTCGGTAAGCGGTCAATTACAAAACGGTGAAATATTAAATAGCAGCAGTAACGACGGCAGCCTAAATGGCATCGATGTTGGAACGCAATCGTCAATAACATCGTCGCATAACTACATCAGCTACCAGGCTCAATCAACGGTTGGTCATCTGTCGCAACAGCAACAGCATATGTTACAACAGAGATGGCCTGCAGCGGCATCGGTTGCAGCACATAATCCGCATCACCATGTTGCTCAACAGCTATCATCAACGCATCCTAACCATCCGGTTGCCGGTGCTCAACATTTTGATGGTTCTTTTGAATTTTTGAAATATTTACGTCATTCAAATGACTATCATGACGGTAGCCATGACCCTCAGGTTCAAGGTGCGCCAAACACCGGCACTAATAGCTGTAGCGCGCATGCTACAAACGCTGTAGGAACTAAGCATGAATCTGCAGCTTCCGCTGTTTCCGCCGTTGCTGTTAATGCCAGTCTTATAGACCTCGATAGCAGTACCACACATAAAGCCTCACGTTCCTCGCGTAAAAGCGCCGCCTTATTGTCTTCCGTCGCCACATCTGCCCCCACACCCATGGCCATAGATGTCTATGATCACGATTCAAAACATACAATATTCGATTTGCAACATATGACCAACGCCACCGTCACTTCGGCGCATAGCTCCAACTCAAATGAATCTTCCATGGAATTGTCTTCATTAACTTATCCGAATTCTCATCTCAACGCTTCCAATTCGAATACCTCCTCCGAAGGTGGCACCAACGGCACCGCCACCGGACACGCCGACTTCTCAATGATAAGCGTTAATGGCAATGCTGCGGCAGCATCATCTCCGGCTACCGTTCCAGCGGCAGCCGCATCAACCGCGCCTAAACCATTAGCCACGTTCGCCATTAAAGAGAATTTCGATGTACATTCCTCGCATAAAATTGAGGAGGGCATCTTCCAGCATATGAACAAATTGCCACCCAAAAAGAAAGATAATCTACGTCAGTTGGGAGTGCGTTTCACCGGTCAAATGACACTCAACGATAAATCGATAATTGTAGACAACTTCATTAGATTCTGTCAGGTATGTATATACAAAGTATATCATATTAAGCCTTTGTCGTTTATTAAATCCCTCTCTATATACGTATATATACCTACCTACTCGTTTATATTGACATATATATACCAATTTTCGTGTATGTACTGGTCTTAACTTTACAATTCAATTCCCTTGGCAGTGCCTCTTATACATATATACATACGATATATATGCGCACATATATATATATATATATATATACAGAAATTCGCATATTATAAAATATTTACCGTTATATTTTGTATAAATACGTGTATATATGCTGATATGAATTAATTGCAGTGGAACTGCAAGTGTGTGTATGTGTATTTTTCGTCGGTTTCATTTAGTTTATGAAATTTATAATATATTCGCTCACATAGTCGCTTAATGGTTTGTCTACCTTAGCCCTCTCTTTTAATTGCACAAACAACTCCCATTTTGAATCCATTTCTTTCTCCTTCTACTTCGTTTTGTTTCTTTCTTTCTCTCTCTCTCTCTCTCTCTCTCTCTCTCTCTCTCTCTTTTTCGCTTTTATTCTGTCTTGCTCTTTGTGCCGCTATCTTCGTCTCGCAACTTATCATTTTACCTCCTCATCACCCTCATCGCCGTTGTACATTTTCACCATCCTCCTCGTTATAAAAAATTTCCTTTTTTAGATAATAACAGTTATATTGTCAATAAATAGCACGCGTAAGGATAACCACATACAATAACACTCTATTCAGATCTCTTAGGTTTTTAAACGTCTGGTTTGTTAATATCGCATAGCCTTTGACATACGATTGTTTCATGGCATTATAAATTTATCTTTTAACTGGAAATAATAACTAGGGATCAAAATGAAAGCGGTATCCATCTTTTCCGCGCTGTATTTACCGAAGCTCGGAAGTGCAGATTTACCTGGTCTAACTTCACTTCTCTATTGTAGCACACGACTTTAGGATTATGACCGATCCCTGGCAGAGTTGAACGTACCTATATATAGGATATAGGTAAAAACACTGTTGTGTTTGTTGGACTTGAGAGAAAGTCGCGAATGCGAAAGTAAACAATATTAAATAGGACTGGGAGTGCATTCCTTGTGTCCATTCATGAGCCAATCTCGATTTCTTATTTTTACCTCCAGTTATAAACGGTTCGCCGTATATTAACATAACAAGCCGTAAGTCAAGTGTAGATGATAGCAGGGAAGTGAATGATTCTTATCGCTCTTAATTGAATGTTGGCCTTCTAGTAAACTTTGGTCTGTACTATCTCTACTATACTATATGTTATTGATAGTCATCCGATTCCTTTTTTGACTTCCTTCCTTTTCTCCTTCCATTCCTTTTTTGTCGTTAACGTATCCGGCCCAGTCAGGATGAGAGTAACCTTTAATATCGTCTTCCTTTTGCTTTCTGTGCACAATGCCGTTGTCGATTGTGCCCTTCAAGTACCCATTACGCGTTTCACTGTTTACCCGAGTTGTTTCCATATCGACTAAGCAAATTAACTGCGTAACAAATGTTTGGTCGCTCAATCTGTGCAACAAAGAGCAAGGATCCGATTGTATGCATGTGTGGAGTTTTCGACATCTGTTATTTACTTTCTTCACCTTTTGGACACATACTGACTGACAATTTCTGATCGTAGTCCATTTGAGTCGAATTTGGGTTACGTTCGCTTATACCGAAACGTATCATGATACCTGCTATGTAACATGACTGATCGATTTTGGTGGCATCATTACTTCGGATGATTTTCGTCCAAAGCACCGAAGGCCACTCTCCCATATCTTTGATTTTATTCTTTCTGACGAGCTTGATTTTCAGCGATCCGACATTTCAAGCTTGATTTTGAGCGATTCGACATTTCAAGTTGTTTGAAAAAAGTAAAACGCCGTCGGCGTAACTTCACCTCTTATCAGACGCATCTTAAATGATTCATTTTTAATGGTTTCATTCCAAGCACTTCCTGATTGCTTCAAATTATAGATGAATTTTTGCAACTTTAAGTTGTTGCATAAGTATGCACTGACCGTTATCCGTTTCGTAACCGATAAATGCCGTATTTGTCAGTCGATGCCAATAATTGTCGTATCGTTGCATCATATCTGGCAACGGGTGCGAAGATTTCATTAAGGTCGACTCCTTATCCTTCTCCTAAAACGAATTTCTTCAGGTAATTTCTTTTCACCACCGCAAAGTTCTCTGTTGATTAAGCAACAGGTTATGTTGTCAGCTTCAGCCGTAAAGCGATAATCAAGACAGCTATCAGTGAGCATATACCCAATAAGTTCTATTAAGATTCAATTTATTCTTCCCGCTGTACCATTTTATTATATATTGCCGGTGTCGGTATTCGGCAAGTTTTTTGGTAACTCACTCCACCCTTTATGAGAGGCTCAAAATTTCTGTTTATCGCACCTTTTTACATACGAAAATGGACTCAGATTTTGGGTGCTTCCTCTGGTCCGAAGGTAATATTAAAATATATTTTCAATAAATCGTCTCTAAATTTGAAGTGCGTTTTCAGTTCAAGTGAAAGCAATACAAACGGTGGCATTAACGTGATAGACAATGATAGATGAGTGATAGTACCGAGAGTGAAGATGAGCATCATATTGTTAGTACGAGTTATTTTAACAATCAATCAAAATTTTAATCCGAAGGTTACATTCCTTTAAAAATCATCTTATCAATTTGAAGTGCGTCTTAGCGTCCGATGCGTCTTATAGTCTGAAAAATACGGTATATTCTCTCTCTCGACGATTGTTGCTCGTTCTTCGAATTTTTATATTTGTTGAATACTCGTCCTTTTCCTTAAATTCGACCAATTCTTCATTGGAATTCTGATCTTTTTAAGGTAATAAGCAAACGATTTTCTGGAAAAGTCGTCTATAAATGTGATCAAGAATCGCGTATCGCAGAAAATTTGTTAATATTAAGTGTATTAAGTTGTAATAAATTTATGGCTTTCTAACTGGTTTCCCCGGTTGCTTTCTTTTTAAGGCTCTTTTAAGGCTCAAGGCTCTTTGTTGTCATTGTCAAAATGAATACCAAACGATGATTTATTTACTTAATTTAAATTATTATCACAAATGTGCTTCAATTTTTTTTTCTAGCAACGAAAACTTGATTTCTTTTTTTAATTTGTGCTTCACTGTCAATGCCGTACAAGTTATTGCCAATCGTTTTCATCCTCGACGATAACCAATAAATGTTTTCGTCTTGTTGTTATTTTTGTTTTGCCAATATCTAGTAATATGCCCCAAACGATTACAACTATGGCACTGGATTGGTTTTTTCGTCTTTTCTTTGTAATTTTGCGTATATAACGAAACTTCTTTCGCCGCGCTTTGAGTATCAAATTTAGCGCCTTAAAGAAGTCGATTTTTTCCCATTTCCCAAGAGTCAACTTTCCATTGGAATTTTCGATGACAATCACCACCGCTCCAATGGATTAGCTATTGAAAGATTTGTCATTTCGAATGCACAGACGCGACTTGCCGCCCATAGCCTCATTGGTTTCAGTTCCTTTATTAGACTATCACATCTTCTCACAATGTAAATATTTAGTTGTAATTCAAGAGGAGAGTCGCAACAATTAGCATAAGAATGCACTGAACGTAATAGGAAGTGTATAATAGATCAAGTAGAAAGAAAGTCGAATAAAGGGCAAGACAAATACATTGTTTAATTAATTGTATAAGCTTCCGTTCATTCTCAAACAAAGCGTTATATGTGGATGCTAGTGCTTTAAGGCTTTAAGTCTGCGGTATTTTAACTTCATGCGAACAACTTGAATCGGATGAAGCACCGGACCATGACTTTTTACATATAAGATAAGAAGATATTATTCTAAAACCCACTTTAAAACTGTGAAATGTGAATTTTATTTTCAAAAACTCAGCACTTTTTCGACAGAAACTGTTAACAGAGATTTCCATAAGACCTTACCGGATATATAAACAATTCATTAACGATTTTCCTAGCAAATGGCATTGCATCATCTATAAGGGTTTGTAAATTGTCATAGTACATCTCCGCGTAGGGTAAACAGTTTTCAGAACTTTGAGAGCTTCAATTGCGTGAATATTCATGCAAAAATATTTCAGCACATAAGCGATATTTATTGTGCTTGAAGAAGGCACGCGATAAAATATTTAATAAGTCCAATGTCCTTAGTAGCCTCATCAACTCAAAAACAACAACATTACAGCTAAGGAACGCTACCAATGACAACTGATGCAATTGCATCGATCATAAGAGAAGAATGGCTGCGTTATGCGGTCAGGTGTTACAGGCTGATCTTTCATTATGCCGTCTCTCGGACTCATTTTACAAAAGCCGTTCGGGAAACGTTAGCATCATTACTAAACTGAAAGGTACAATCAACTCGACTCTATTCCACGTATATTTGACTTTATTTCAGCAATAGCATCTTCTATCAGTGGCTTACGGTTATGTCTGAGTAATGTTTCTTTTGACAACAATCAAAAATGGACCCATTATCCCTTTGTCGCGGATTTCATATTCTATCAGAACAATATGCGAAAATGTGTAGCTAACGGTAGACAACACTTTCAATACAATATTTATTTGCATTTTTAAACCTGACATTCATAGAAATTATCGCGTGCTCGACTGTACCATCGAGTTGGCTGCATATTGTTGCGACTTATTTTCTTGAAGTTGACATTTGAACTGTGCGCTATTCTCTTGTTCGAATTCTTTACTTAGCGAATGTTGAAGCTCTTTCCCATCTCTAGATAACACGACGATTTCGTTTGTTGGCGATACCAGCCTGGTATGTAATGTGGCTTCTTCGTACACCGCAGAACGGTTCATGACCAACCAAGGCAACTCGGACTCCCTAGCTAGGTAGACAGTCAGCCCTTTTGTTGCCTGCAACACCCGAATATCCAGGCACGCAAATAAGCTGCATATCGCTGTGCCGGCCCAGCTCATTTAGTATTTGAAGGCACTGCAACACCAGATGTTAACCTGAGCACCGCCTTT